CACAACATCTTTGTTGGTATGTGGTGCTGAGGATCGAACCCGGGTCGCACGCATGCCAGGCGAGCGCGCTACCACTTGAGCCACATCCCCAGCCCAGTTAGTTTGTTTAAAGTAATTTTTCCTTTAATTGAAAAAGCAAGCCATGTACCTAGTTATGAGTTTATTAATACAAAAAGGTACATGATACACAGTATGTTTTCTTCCCACCCAAGAACCCCACCTCCTGCTTTCCTCCCCAGAGTTGACCACGATTACTAATTTTCCTATCTATCATTTTGGAACTTATTCAAGAGTTCTTAATTTGTTCATGAATAGTCTTCATGAATGTCCTAAAATTATATTCAATTTTAATCTTAATTACATTAAAAGCTATGAGCATGTACTTTTTCTGGGAAAACAATCCATAATTTTGATCAGTCTTAGGATGTTTCCATAATCTAAAAAAAGGGAACAGCTGCTGCTTTAAGGATAATGAGTGCTGGCTGAAGCTATAGGAAACCTGTTCCTTTGGAGGCATACCCTCTGAGCACAAGTCTGCCAATTGGCTGGTGTCTTTCTTCCTCTGAATTCTATCTTATTCTTTCTTTTCTTTTGTCCCAACAAAGACCCAGAGACTCATTTCCACTGTCTTTTTACTCCTTTCCCATGTTACCCCACTGGTTTAAATCTGTTTCCAACAGTTTTCTTGTGATTCTTCAGCCCAGTTTCTTTCCAGATTGGTAACTTTGTGAAACAAAATAATAAAGTCCTAGTTTTTAAAAGTTGAAAGAAAGTTGGAAATTAACCTCTGTTTTCTTCTTTTTTTAATGGGGCTGAATTTTGGACTCAAGGCCTCCTGTATAGCTAAACCAGCATTGTACCACTGAGCTGTATACCCAAACCTAAAGGGTTCTTCTTTTGTTTTTTGTGGAATGAACCCAGGATCTCACAAATGCTATACAAACACTTTACTACTGAGCGACCCTAACCTTTTTTATTTTTGTATTTTGAGACAGAATCTTGCTAAATTGCTGAGGCTGGCTTTAAACTTTTGATCCTTCTCCCTCATTAACACTAAATAGCTGGGATTGTGGGTATGCCCCACTACACAAGTAAATGTTGTGATTTTTCTTTTTTTTTTTTTTTGGTAAAGGGGATTGAACTCAGGGGGGAATCGAACACTGAGCCACATCCCCAGTTCTTTTTTGTATTTTATTTGGAGACAGGGTCTCACTGAGTTGCTTAGTGCCTCACTGTTGCTGAGATGGGCTTTGAACTCCCATCTTCCTGCCTCAACCTCCTGAGCTGCTGGGATTACAGGCATGCACCATCCCTGTTTCTTGATGAGAATCTTTTTGATATACACTATATGCTTTCTGGTCATCTTGACTAATGAATACTGAGTATAATATTGTAGTGAATTAAGAAAAGGTTGAATTGGGGTACGTGCTTAGCATATGTCAGGCCTTGGGTTCAATCTCCAACATGGCTTCCTGCCAAAAAAAGAAGAAAGAAGAGCCAGGCATGATAAGGCATGTCTGTAATCCCGGCTACTCAGGAAGCTGAAGCAAGAGATCATAAATTCAATGCCAACACAGGCCACTTAGAGCCTATCTTAAAATAAAAATGGCTGGGATGTGGCTCAGTGGTAGAGCACTTGTCTCTGGGTTCAATCCCTAGTACTGCAAAAAAGGAAGGGAGGGAAAATGGACTAAATTAGTTACTTTGAAAGAGTTTATAGAAAAAGAAAATTACAGGCAGAGGAAGTAACATGAACAAAGGTAGGAAGAGAAGAAAATAGAATATATCTAGGAATAAAGGACCTAACTTTGCATATGTTTATTGTGTTAAGAGAGGAATGACCCCTCAGGGAGGAAAAGACATTAAGAGAGAAGGTCCAAGAAAAGGCAGAATGGATTGGAAATGAAAAATGGATACAAAAAAGACAGGGGGGATATTACTTATAAGCAATAATGAATGAAAAGGAGAATGATTCTACAGGAAGCTTTTTCGGGGGAATAAGGTGGTTGACCTTGGCAGAGATGGAGAGAAAGACAGTTGTTGAGATCCAGATCGAAAGGGTTTGTGTTTTTAAGTAATTAAGAGTGAAGAAGGCTTGGAATTCCTAAAATAGACTTATGTTAAGAACAGCCAGTCTTATGTTGTGTTTTGAATGATAGACTAGATTAAAATCCAATATAATGTCTGCTTTGGTTTGGATATAGTTTGTGTCCTCAAAGGGTTCATGTATTAAAATTTAACTCCCTTTGTAAGGTACTAAGAGGACTGAAACTTAATCTATACTGTGTGGGGGGGGCGCGTGCTTTAGGCGATGATTAGGTTTAGATAAAGTCATCAGAGTGGAATACCCTTTACTGGATACTGATACGTTTATAATAAGAGAAAGACCAAGGGCATACTTGGTACTACCCATATCTTGTCATGTGATTCATTGAATGAACTGCCAGCAAACAGGCCATCAATAAATGCCTTGAGCCTCTTGAACTGTGAGCGAAATAAACTTCTTTTCTTTCTAAGATTATCTAACCTTAGGTATTTTGTCATAGAAATACAAAAATGGACTAATACAATGCCTATGTAATACATCAAGTTTTTCATGAAATTTCTTCTGTATTACCTTTATAATCTATATAATACCTTGATCTATATAGTGAGAAAGCTGGGAAGAATATTCCCAAGCATTAACTGTGCTAACTGAATTTTCTATGGGTAAACTCTGATTGCTGAAAATAAAATAGTTTTATTGACCTGGGTAACTATAGAAATCCGAAATATTTAATGAACTTTACCCAAAAGATAATAGTACTAATCTGAACAAGAAAATTACCTAGGACATTCATTACTGACCTGAAGTTTTCAAACAATAAATGAAATTTATAATACTTTCTAGAAGAGCTAGAATCACATGTGAATCATAATGTAACTTAAAATTTCTAATAAACACTAAGTTGCTGAGTGCCTTGCTAACTTGCTGAGGCTTACCTTGAACTCGTGATCCCCCTGACTCAGCCTCCCAAGTTATTGAGATTATAGGCGTGTGCTTATACCTGACTAATAACCACATTTTAAAAAGTAAAACAAAATACGTAAAATTAATTTTAATTTTTTATTTATGTAGTATATATTATCTAATTCAATTGTGACTAAGATTTTATCATTTCAAATTATAATCAATGTAAAGAATATTAATGAAACCAGGAGTGGTGCCAATTGAATTACATGCCTGTAATCCCAGTGATTTGGAAGGCTGAGGCAAAAGAAATGCAAGTTTAAGACCAGCCTCAGCAACTTAAACCCTGAGTTTTGGGTTTTTTGGGTTTTTGTTTTTGTTTTTGTTTTTCAGTACTCAGGGCACTCAACCACTGAGCCACATCCCCAGCCCTATTTTGTATTTTATTTAGAGACAGGGTCTCACTGAGTTGCTTAG